ACTTCAATGTATAATTTTCCGCTTTCGGGGTCCCATGGAGGCTCCCGGAAGGGGAGGGACTTCGCCTCTCTATAGGAGTCGAGGAGGGGAATTAGAGAAATGAGAAAGGGCCATTGTCATTTCTGTTTCAAAAAGTTTTTAAATATTGACCCAATTTTCCTGAGATACTTGTATTCATTTACTGCACGCCATGTGTGTTGAATATCAAGTACAGTTTATATGTCCTGATTAATATTGATTATTTTGATCAAAATCGTAACCGTCCTTTTCATGGAAATTATAACATAATGGACTTTCACTCACTTCATGTGATTATTGAATAATTATCTGCTTTGAGATCAATATGTTTATCCTATTAATTAAAAGGTTTGATATATGTCCCCGTTTTATAAAGACAATGGAATTCTTACATGTAAAGAATCAATTTATTGTATTGATTATTAAGCACAACGTGACAGTTTTTACAACATTTTATTTTGGTAACCAACCGTGGATAACTGGTCTCTCAAATGTAAATTGTCTGTCTTTTATAAAGACAGTCTACTCTCTGTGAGTACAGTGTCTTGTAGAAATCTACAAGTTGTTGTTGTGATGTATCATCACCTCTAGATGGAACACTGCCAGCTGATAATGTTGTGTACTCATCTTCTTAATTTGTATGTTACATTAGTTGATAGAAGTCTCCATCATCATTACATTACATTTCATTTAGCTGACGCTTTTATCCAAAGTGACTTACAATTACCAATTACAGGGACATTCTCCCTAGAGTAACTAAGGACTACAGTAAGTGCCTTACTCAAGGGCACACTAGTGGTGGTGTTCCTGGCGGGATTTGAACTCACAACCTTCAACCCACCTCACTATACACCACTATTCCTATTCATACCTTTTCCAATCATCATACAGTTCAGCAAACACAGTTAATTGTTTATCCATAACATACCTGTTTAATGTGAAACTAAAGTGGTTCAATTAAGAACTTTGACGAAGAGTCATCAATGTACATCACTCTTTATGGAATCAGTTAAAGGTGGGGTATGTAATTTATTTCCAAAACACTTGTTGTTATATTCCATGGAATGCTCTTAACATCCCGATAGCAATGAATATATTAAATGCTTTGACAATAAATACATTTAAAAATGTTATCTGTGGAAGCCGTAGCGCTGTAAAAAGCACGACCAATCATTTTAGCCGGCCCGGCTAAAGTAACTGGATGGCCTACCTGCCTGTCAGCCTTCCATCTGTGCACAAACTTATCTCGTGCCCTCATTGATCATGTGCGCGTTCGTGTGTGTTGGAGGAGGGGCTCTGTAAAGAAGTCTGAAGGAAGGGGCAGATTTTTTCCGGTTGTGTACTTTCAAATTCTAGCGCACTCGAGCTGGTTGATCCAAAATTACATAACCCACCTTTAAGTTATCAAACTAAGAAAACTAAAAGTCCATTTCACAAACACTGTTGATTGTTTTCAGTTCCAGGTGTTTTAATGTGGAAACTTCAAAGTTAACCATTTCTCACTTTTCAGAGGTCATACATTGTATCTAAAGTGATGTATAATGAGGCACACTTCTATTGTTCCTCCAGTGAAAGGACAGAGTGTGGGAAACCAGAGGAACCTCACTCACAGAGCCCTGTGGGACAAAAGATCCAGACCTTTTCCCTGAAGGGACAGATTAAAGACACTCTTGCTGTAGAAATTAAACTTGTTTTGAGTCACATCTTGGTTGTAACTTCTTCTCTGATAGTAATCAGCAGACCTATTACATTTGTGAATGTTTAAATGTTAACTTAAGTGAGCCAAACTTTTAGGACATAAAGGTTTTGTTAACCATAATTGTTCGATTTCACTCATGGTTTCTTAAAACTATAACACCATGACACTCTGGTTTTAAACAGTAGATATTTGATAATAAAATTAACTTACTGCATATACTTCAAATGCTAACAGCCTTGTTCATACAGAATACTGCATTTAGAAGGGTATAGCCATAAATGATGTTGATGGCTAACAAACCTAAACATAGAATTACTGAACAACTTAACACTGGACAACTTATTGCAAGACCAACATGCTAAAAAGACACTCCTGGACTGCATAGTCATCACATTGCTGTCTTATAGGGGTGTTGAAATTAATCGTTTCTACGAGGCATCGTGGTTCGGACGTGGACGATTCTGCATCGATGAAGGGACAGAACATAATCGATTATAGCATAGTAACGTTGCTTCCTGATCTTCCGGCCACGGCTGGACAATAACGTATTTTTTCTTTTTCTGTCACACGAATATCAAATCGCCGGTGCCGCAGAGATCAGGGAACAGAAGTGACAGCGGCACACAGCGACTCCAGTCCAGAACCAACAGCAGAATGACCCACTCTGAATCAGTCCGTGTCGCTGCGGCTCAGAGACACACATCGATTTATGTTTTTCAAAAACACTCTTTGTCGTCATGTCAGGTTTTTGGTGGATTTAATCAAGTCTTGGATTGCAGAGTTATGTCCTCTTGCTATTTTCAGTTGATAAATACATGTGTAAAGTTTGTGAAGGCAGGAGGAAAGATTCCGCGATCACCGTCTCCTCTCTGCTGCTCCTAACCCCGCCCCCCCTTGAAAATAATGAGTGACAGGCTGATGAAACTTTATTATTCACTTAATCACTGATTGAGATATGATGAAGCTAACTTAATCTCCTACAATCATGGGATTAATGGGTACTACTTTACAATAAGACTACCCTTATAAAGGGTTTACGAATAGTTTGTAATTATTTTATTAATCAAGTTGTGAACACTTTATAAATCATTAATAAGCTTTTATAAGACATGAGATAAACAGGGCAACTGTGACCGGTTGCTTGCCAAATAGTGAGCCCACATGTATCTGTACTGCTAAGCCTTATTAGAAATAGTAACTCATTAATAAATGGTGATTTGTGTAACACTTTACAAGGCTCCCTTTTGGCAGTTATAAATGTTAGTAACTCATAAATAAATGGTCGTAAAGAGATGCCAAGAAACATCAAGACGGATGGGGGGGAATCAACTCAGTGAACAACAGATACCAAGGATGTTGGCTGATGAAGAAGACGAAGTAAGCTAGGTAGCCAATATAAGGCTTAGTCATCTTGCCAAATAGTGAGCCTGTGTTGATGTATGTTAGGACTGGTTTATAAATGGTTCTTAATGATTAATAAAGTGTTTACAACCTAATTATAAACCCTTTATGAATCCTTTATAAGTCTTATTGTAAAGTGGTACCGATGTATGTAACAGTAAGACAGAGAATGTAAGTGTGCACCCACATGCAGTATTTTTGTTTTGATATGCTGTTGTAAATACTCCTGTTGTCTGCTGTGTTCAGACTAAAGTCATGTTAGTGATGCCACATTCAGGACATTCAGTGTCCTTTTTTTTAACAGAAGACCATTGCTAGAAGCTGCAGCTAGACTGCAGAAGAATTAGTTTTTAGTTGTTGAGGATGGAACAACTTCACACACAGATATAGGAAGGCTAGACCTATACACTTGGTTTACTTTGGTTTATAATTTAATGTCAAGACATTTATGTTATTTATTTCTGACGCACTTTCTAAATAATAAAAAGGGAGTTCATATTTATCTTACTGCATGTATTGATTGATGAAAAAGAAGCCCTGTGCAGTAATATAGAAAATTGAGGATGCAACGCATTGTTATGCATCGGGATATCGAATCGAAGACAGGATAATCCTAATCGAATCGAGTAGTGAGACCAGTGAAGATGCACAGCCCTGTCTTATAGCTGATCTTAAATGGTAAAAAATGAACTTCATATCAGGATATTACATTTTTGAGTGATAGCAACCCAGTAGTATTGATGATAAACACTGGTGGAGGAAAAGGATCCTCAAAAGGTTCATTTGTAGAGGGGCACATGTCAGTTCTCTGCTAATGGACGGAGTGGGGGAAAGCTTTGGAGGACAGAGTTGAGTGTGAATGACTTCCACCAATCCCACCAGCAGCCAAGTAATTCTCCAAAAGGGATTTGGCACACTTCAGGAAACAGCTGCCCTCCAGGAAACCTCCCACACTCATGTGAGAACTAGTTCTGATCAAAAATGATGGTCAGAAGTGAGATAAGATTGTTTTCTGAATGTTAAAAAAAATGTATGAAAATGATTGGAAACTGACAATATAGCATGATAAATATATATTTTTTAACTTAAAGATAAATTGTTTGTCAAAGATTCAAATGTTTAAAACTTTCGAGTCAGCCAATGGCGTCCTTTCCCTCCAGATGGCTGGTGATGTCACCCTCAGTTTCTACAACAACACACAGCCATCAGAGGAGTCCCTTTGTGGATCATTGACCATACAGGGAGTCAGTGTGGGAAACTGAGCTCAACGTGTCAAAAGACCCCATCTGGATAGATGCATGATTATTGTGTGGAATTTACTGATTTACTTGCCATAAATGATCATCCCAGTACCGTCATTTTTACAAAATATGGCATTTTGGATGAAGCAATATTTTTTACGGAGAAATATATAATATAAATTTGAAAATGAACTTTTGTTAAAGTGATTTAACCTAATATATTTTACGTTTCTGTTGAAGCAAAAAATATATAAAGAGAAATAATATTTGATGAATTATTATTTGTTATCTTAAGAGTGACTTATACAGTACTATTTCAGATATTATTAGCTCACGTGTGATAAGATGATGAGCGTGTGCTCAGTCAAAGTCATTGATCCCAGCATCAGATCTGCTCTCTACAGGGTCACCACTTTCCCAGATTCACACAGAGCTCTGTGAGTCTCTCTCCATCACCCCCCCCCCCCTCCACCTGTTCCCCTGAAATCATACCATTGTCCCTTGGGGCAATAAGAGCATTAAGTGTGCTGCACCCATTATTGTCCCAACTCGCTCTCTGATTGGTTGAGAGACTGTGAGAAACTGCAGTCAGACCCAGACCCACACATTCATATGGAGATGTGGGACTATAAATAGGAGGGATGAAGCCAGCAGAGATCAGATTCTCTCGACAGAGACCTCTACAGCACAGAGATCCAGACATGGCACCTACAATCACTGCAGCAATGACCAACTCTCAGGAGCCTCACACTCTGACCCACAAGGTAAATTCAAGATTCAAGAAGATTTTAATATTGTCCTTCAATCGTTGTCTTTGTTCATGCTACCACTAAACTCCAGAATAAGATTATTAATGACTTTCTTTTTCTTTCTGCAGCTCAGAAAGCCTCTGGTGGAGAAGTTACGCAGAGAGCGAATCAATAGCAGCATTGAGCAGATCAAGTCTCTCCTGGGTCCAGAGTTCCTCAAACAGCAGCCAGACTCCAAGCTGGAGAAAGCAGACATCCTGGAGATGACAGTTTGTGTCCTGAGACGACTGCAGCAGCAGAATCAAGCTGTGGACTCAGCAGCTGTCAACCAGGGCTACTCCAGGTGTGTGCAAGAGGTGACACACTTCCTGTCCAAAGAGCAGGGGAAGACTCAGTCCCAGAGAAGACTGCTGAACCACGTCAACAAGATGCAGTGTTCCTCTGATAAGAACCTGAGAGAGGCTGACTTCTCTCTGCTGAGCTCCACAGTCCAGACTAGCATCACGAAAGAGAAGAGTCCAGTCAACAGCGCCCCCTGGAGGCCGTGGTAGACCCCTACAGACTGGAGTTACTACCAGACAAACTGAGATGACCATATTGGTCAAAGGTTACTGGAAGTGAATTCTTCTGAATTCTGAAATACTAAGAACTTGTTCTTTTGTTTGTACAGAAGGTAGTTTTTGTTCGTTTTCTTTATGCAAGATGTCATTTCCTGAGGAAATTACAGCAACTATATCTTTCAATTTAAGAAAGAGAACATTCTCGTGCATGTTGCATGAACCAAATCTGATTGCATTTGCAATTATTATTATGTCTCACTGTACTTCATGTATTGGTGGCATAGATCAATGATGAATTTAGTATCCTTTGTTTTGTTATTGATCATAGTGATCAACAAATGTAGTGTCCTATTTTATGGACACATTGTCATTGAATTTAACTAAGAAGTGATCTGTTAAAAGATCCAAATGTTTATTTTTTTCTCAAAGGTTTGCTTAATGTCACACTTTTCCTGTGATACCTTTATGTCTCACTGTTTGTCATGTGTGTTGTAAAACTTAGTACATGGAGATATTTTTGACCCCTTCATTGGTATTGATGATTTTTGAATGGATCAAATCTATTAATTGTCATTCTTGTGGATGAGTTGTCAGGATGGAATTTACCTCACTTTCTGTGATTATTGAAAAATGTTCAGTTTCAAGAGCAATATGTTCATCCTTTTACAATTAAAAGTTTTGGTTAATGTTCCATTGTCACAATTTTTTTGTGACAATGTAATTTACATTTGATCATTGATTATTAAGAACAATGTGACCTGTTGTAAGGTTAGATTTGACTACATTTTCTTTGTTAACAAACAGGGAATGTTTTCCTGTCAAGTATTCGTGTGTCTTTTATAAAGACAGTTATTCCTCTACTCTCAGTGAGTACAGTGTATTGTAGAAATCTACAAGTTGTTGTTGTGATGTATCATCACCTCTCGTAGGAGCTGTCATGTTTCATGTTGCTCATTGTGCCTTGTTGAATAAACAAACAACTCCAGTTCAATATGTTGCTCTTTAGAGTTATTTTCCTTTCACCTGCCCTCACTATGATGAGTAGAATGTTTCTTCTATCCTAGAGGTTGCTGGGGTACGTTATTTTTACGTAACGGTAATTTGGAGACGCCTGTTAACCTAACTTGCATGTTTTTATGTGGGAGGAAGTCTTATCACTCGCACAGGTACAAGGAGGATAATCAAACGTGCCACATAAAAGCTCCAGGAGGTTCAAAGCTAGGATCCTCCTATGAGCAACAGTGGTATCTACTGCACCATCATGATGCGGCTTCACTTACTGTAGCAGTTTACTGATAATCTATATGCACTACATTTTAAGTGATTTTATTCAGACTTCTCGTGAAATTAGGTCATTTACTGTATTTGCAATAAAGGGATTTATAAAGTAATCTAATTCTAATCTTATTCAAATAAAAAAGACAAAGTACATTCAAAAATATTTTTTAAAGCAAGACAATTTGGCTATAACTCTTAAAAGCTGATGTTTAAAAGTATAAGGTTAACACGAAAACCTACCCACTTTATAGAGATTAGACATTGTATTTAAAGTGATGCATAATGAGGCACACTTCTATTGTTCCTCCAGTGAAAGGACAGAGTGTGGGAAACCAGAGGAACCTCACTCACAGAGCCCTGTGGGACAATAGATCTGTGCCCGATAGAAAGAGATTAAAGACACCCTGTCTCCCAGAAATGCTAAATTCCTAATGTGTTTAATTTCATAGATTAATATCTATGTTAAGTTTTTCCAACATGAAACATACTGCTTGGCAAAGCCTTTGCACTAATACGGTTCTGTTAGTGAGCCTAATGAGTTAAATATCATAGATTAATGTTTTTAAGTTGTTCTACCATGATAAAAAAAATGGCTGGCAATGCTGTTGTGCAGCATTAGTTATGTCAGTTAGTTTAATTGTAAGACTACATAATTATGGGGAATTGCGATATAACTATGTGTCTTCTGGGTTACAATAGTCACTGGGAAACAGAACATGTTTGAGACGACACAGGTCAGTCTTTGCAGACAACATATGACCACATCCAAGTATCAATTATTACCTCAATATATAATTTATATAAACAATACAGGATTTAAAAAATGTTGAATGACATACAATGTGAGATATCGGCAAACGCCCTAATAAAGCTTGTTTGACATATTGTGATCATTATTACAGTAGTGTAAAAAAAAATTGAATATAAATATAGGGAATGATTTAATGGTCAAATGTTAAAAGTGGATAATCAAAATGTCGATGTGCATGTTGATATACAGTACGGCTTAATTTTCTTTTGTAAATAGAGATTGTGTGGGAAAACTCAAGAGATCAGAGTTTAGCATGATTATCATCCTTAACCCCACGAGCAGCAGATTATTCTCTAAAGGGATTTGGCACACTTCAGGAAACAGCTGCTTCAACCTCCACAGATGAGCGTGTGCTCAGTCAAAGTCATTGATCCCAGCATCAGGCAGCAGATCTGCTCTCTACAGGGTCACCACTTTCCCAGATTCACACTGTGAGTCCTCCACCTGTTCCCCTGGGATCTAACCATTGCCCTCATTTCAATAAAATCATCGGGCGTGTGGCATCTTTTATTGTGTCACTGAGCTCTCTGATAGGCTGAGACACTGACAGCTGAACATGTGTTCTCATCTTAATTTTCATATTACTTTAATTGAGTGTATACCCCATCGTTCCTTGATTTGAGAAATCATGATACAATTTAGAACATACAATATTTAGCAATAGAATACCCGTTTAGTGGGGAACTAAGGTGGTTTCATTATAACATTCATTAATGCTATGTCACAACAAATTTAGTAAATACAGTCATCAAACTAAATAAAAGGAAGTATAATCAATGAGAACTTTGACAACATTATTTTGGCAACATTTCAGTTTAAAGAGCTTACGAAATGAAGGACAATACTGTTCTTATTACGATAATATATAGGCCTACTATTAATAATGGGAAATCATTTGTCATTCATGACAATATGCCCGCTGTGTTTATAAATCGTGATTTATTACAACTTTCCATGCTCGCTTCCGATGTTACACGACCGCTCCGAAAAAGTGACGTCACGAGTAGAACACTTGTTGAATAATACACACTACCTATATGGCTGATGTCGGACTCTGGAGAGAGAATCGAGTGACAGTGAGTCGTCAATAGACTCGGTGCACTTTCAAAAAGAGGAGGATTTTATTGAAGAGGATGCCGGTGTGGTGGAATCAGATCATGCGGGTGAGTCTAACGTGGTGGAACCATACCAGTTTGAGCCACAGTATTCAAGTAGCGGTAGAGATACAGACGGGAGCGAACATGGGGATGATGATCCTGGATTTGGCGGAGATCTGGTGCGACAACAGAACACAGACTGGTATACATTTTACTTTAATCCATAGAGATTCTCAATAAATAGTAAATCAATAATAATATATCGTAATGTAGCAGGCACACTTGGCTCAGGCAACAGAACACAGACTGATACACATTTGACTATAATTCATAGATTCTCAATAAATAGTAAATACATAATAATAACTGCTGAAAAAACCAGCTTAGATAAATGTAGCAGGTCAGGCTGTTGTAAATTGACCAGCCAGTAGATATTAGGCTGAAATGGTTGGCTAGAGAGGGGTTTTGGACACTTTAGCTGGCCAGGATGGCTGGTTTATCCATCTATCACCAGCTTATGTTTAATAATAGTATTAAATATACCATGCTGGAAGCTCACCAGGATTCCAGGTGACCAGCATACATTAAATACGGGTATGATTATTTAAAGAGAACATCAATATATTACAAAGATTCATTGTGTCATGTATTCTGGTATCTACCAAAATAATAAATAAACAGTATTTTAATTTAATAAATAGCTAGTTAATATAATAAAATACACAGTAATACAATAATTATACAAATAACAACCAACCTGCAAATCAACCTATACATCAAAAATAAATATAGTATCTAAAACCAGTGCATTTGATTTAAAATAAAAGTAATAAATATAATTCAATATTTAAATGGTAACAAAAACCGTAACACTATATATGATAAGAAAAAGGCAACAAAGAAAGTGTTTTTGGTTTTTCCTTGTTCATGTCCATAATGTTTCCCGTTGTGTAACGTCCAGCCTTTCCCAATCTGGCCTGCATTTCTGTCTGTTGAAGCCACTTCTTCAAGCAAACTGAAAATAAATATAAGTACACTTTAAAAAGAAAACATGACATTTACGTTAACATTTGGGCTGCTGTGGTTGCCAGAACTTGATAATTAAAGTATAATACATTAAAAATTACAGTTGGTTGGCATAGACGTTACAGTCAACAATTGCTTATGGTGAATTACAATGGCAAAAACAAATAGAGTTAGTGTACACGGTGCAGCTGTATTATCTGGGAAATAGAAGAATCGGATCAGGATTCGGTATTGGCAGACAATCCATATCAAATGAATCGGATGATTATAAGCATCAGCACTTGATCACGTTTGTCGACTTGCAGCCTAAATACAAAGATAACTCCACTCCTCTCCTAACCATGCTTACCTCTAATGAGCCTTGGTAGAACTAGTGTCCGAGTCATAAGCCGCATACACACCGCAGGGCTTTCCCTGGTACTTTGGTTCTTTAGTTCCGTTAGTACCAATAATGTCGCGTTCACACCGCCGGGACTTAAGTGCCGGGAACTCTTTTGGCCATTTTCAGTCCCTGCTAGAGAGGTGGTACGAACCTGGTGATAAAAGAGTGCCAATTTCTATTCTATTTCTATTGGCTGGGCGAATTGCAAACCACGCCCCGTTAGACTCTGAATTTTCTTTGTTAGGCAGCCACTTTTTTTCCTCGCTACAAAACCACATCCACACCTGAGCGAGTAGTTTTTTTTGTACTTTAAAGCAGTTATGACCATACGTAGGCCTACTACAACACCGGAGCGGTGGAATGATGAGGAAGTGTCGGCGCTTCTGGCAATTTACTCCGAGGACGGGATGCAGCAGCTTCTACAGAAAGCAGTTCCCAACTCCAAATGTTTTGAGCGATGTTCGCAAAAGCTACTTGAGCTGGGAATAGTGCACAGTGCACACGGATGCCGGGTAAAAATAAAGAAACTCAGGCAGGACTATAACAAAATTAAAGACCACAGTAATAAGAGTGGTAACGATTTTCTATTGTTATTATATATATATATATTGCCACTGTTTTGTAATACTGACACCTAACTTGCACTAAGGTGTGTCTGCTGCTATATATATTGCCACTGTTACATTGTTTTGAAACTACTTACACTTTATTTTACATTTCACTTTTATTTAACTTCAATTGACATGCATACGACACACCTGGAACAGCGTGATGCCGTTATTGTTATGTCTTGACTGTGCAATAAAACAAACAAACCGGCGAAGCTTTATTTATTGTGTCCCACCCCAAATTTGCAGAATAGAAGAATGTGAGAGCAGACAGGTGTCAGTGGTTGAATGTATCTACAATGTTGCAACCTTGTGCAGCAATGGCACGGGCAGAAACACAAATCTTACACACATAAACACAAGTCATTTATCATGTCATTTGTTTTAGATAAATAAGGGAAAAACACCAAACAAGGGTTAATGTCCTTTTCCAAAATCAGCCTGAGGGGGTAATATAAAATAAATACATAAAGATAAAGTCCATTGTTATAATGGGGTATTTTATTTGTAAATTACCCTTATGAACTCCATCATTTCTGAGGTCGGAAAGTAAACAAACGCCTCATACAGCGGGTGGGCTTTATACCCCCTCCCCCGTGTAGTTCTTCTTCTCTCGTTTTTTGTTGTACTCGCCGTGAAGTGGTTTTGCGGCCTGCCAGTAAACCCAGAGAAGAAGAAGACGAAGTGACATCAGCGTAATCTTGCCTCAGGGAAAGTACTGCGGTGTGAATGCGATTGGCACTAGCCCCATGGCGGATTTAGTGCCGTGGTACTTTAGTGCCGGCACTAAAGTACGGCAAGTCCTGCGGTGTGAAAGCGGCTATAGGGTCCAGAACTGACTGAAGACATGTGGAACAGAGGACAGGCATGGTTCCATGTACAGGAAACTGGAACTTTGAACAGGTGTTTTCATCTTTTCTGCCTGAAGATTCACAAGTTCTTGATCAGGTGTTTGATGTGGGCTGGCATGATCCTTTCTGCAGCGATAAATAAAGAAAACAAAGAAAACATTTTTAATAATAGTAATGATGGTAACAACAATAATATTAGTATAACTATTTATATAGCACTTACACAATTGCAAAGTGATTCTCACAACAAAAATAAAGAACAACACAATATCAACAATAAAAAAAAAAATTATTATAGGAATGTTAAGAGACAAAGAAATGTTTTTTCCGTCATTACAATGCACTAGGGATGTAACGATATATCGAATATCGCGATAAATAGATGTCTCAATACCGTCGTGAGACTGACAAAATCTCCCGCGATTTTTAAAAAATAATTTAAAAATAATTTTTGGGAAATTACCTTCCAAAGGCTAAATTCAAACTGCTTTGCCTGATACAGTGCTTTGCCTGATAGAACACGTTCCACACGGAGCAGCAACCATCCAGCTGGGCCTTTTGCTGCATATCATCTCCCCCCTCTCTCTCTCTGGTGTTAGGTTCCAGTAGATCTCTACTATCCAATAAAACTGAAATTCTCAGAAAAATCATATTAAAAAAGTTAAAAACAATTACTTGCTTTTGGCATTGAAATTGATTAGAATCTCACCTTTTTCCTGGATGTCAGGAAGGCCAGGAAGTAATTCCCTTCAAGTCCGCAACCAGTCATAGGAGTTCAAATGTAAAGCCTGAACGATGACATGAGCGAGAGAGTTATATTTTTAATTCATACCAGAGCAGTGTGTACATAGTACGACATGCAGTGAACAGATCAAATCCCCTGACAGACTCACACTTTGGTGATGTCCTCATCAGATAATGTTTCATTTTTTAGCAGCAAACTAACAAGTATATGTCAGACCCAACTCATTTACAGTATGTTTTGCATCTCCTCAACAATGGTCTGTATAGTTGAGTAGAAAAAAACTGTCCCTACAATTTCAGGTAGATTAACACGCATTTGTGAGAAAAGTTAACAATGAAGCACAAAACCCATCTTTGTATTAAGCGTGCTGCAACATAAAGTACAGCTTAACTAGGGTGACCAAACGTCCTCTTTTGCCCGGACATGTCCTCTTTTCACGCCCTGTCCGGGTCGTCCGGGGGGGGGTTTATAAATTCATGAAAATGTCCGGGTTTCGCGGACCGTTTGCATGTACTTAAATTGACTGGCGCATTGCACAGAATACTACGGTACTCTGTTGCGTGTGTGACGTAATCCCTGAGTCTGAAGCTTTGTGGGCGGCTCTACAACTACGCTGACACACAAACAGAGGAAGGGGACAGAGCGGACCGCAGCTCACATTCATAATGCCAAAGCGCAAATGTACTTTTACAGATGAATTGCAGAAGAAATTCCAAATGTACCGACCCGGTCGGAACAAATGGGAGGCGGAGTGCACCGTGTGCAAAGCTTGCACATACGTGTGTGTGTCCAATAAAGGTGCAGGCGATCTTAAAGCGCACATGGACACAGACACACATAGGAAAACTGCAAGGTGAGAGTTTGTCGGCAAAGTTGACAGAGTTCTTTGTTAGACCAGGCAAAACAGAGGATGCTGTAAATGCAGCGGAGGGTGCGTTTGCATTTCACACTGTGAAACATCACAACAGCTACAGATCTATGGATTGCACAAGTGCCTTGCTAAAAAAAGCATTTCCAGACTCTGACACTGCCAAAAAATTCAGTAGTGCACGCACTAAAACAGAAGCCATTGTCAATGGTGTTATAGCGCCCCACTCGATTGATGTCGCACATGAAGCACTCAAAGAAATCCAGTACTGTGGTGTTTCTACAGACGGAAGTAACCACGGAGCAGTGAAAATATTCCCAATCATAATCCAGTACTTTGACTGGAAGAGGGGTGGCATGCAAACAAAATTAACCGAGGTTAAAGACACACCAAATGAGACAGCAGAAACCATTGCACAATATCTCATTGAAACATTGGCAAAAAACAATTTGTCTGAAAAATGCATTGCATTTACTGGCGACAATTGCAACACAAACTTTGGAGGAATCCGACGTGATGAAGGGGGAAAGAATGTGTTTGCAAATTTGAAGAGGTTGCTGCTTGTGTTCATCATGGGGCAGACACAATAGATATTGACCTTGAGAATATCATGTTCAAAATCTACAGTACTTCCACATTTACACTGTGCGCACTGAGAGCCTGAAGGAGTACTGTGATTTTGTTGACATTGAATACAGAAGGATGCTTTCTCACAGCAAGACAAGGTGGCTGTCATTGTTCCCAGGCATTGAGAGGATGATACAGATGTTTCCAGCCTTAAAGGCATTCTTTCTGTCTCAGCAAAAACCACCCATAGTGATCAAGAAGTTTTTTGAAAACGAATTCAGTGAGATCTACCTCTGGCACATGCACTCACTCATGTCTGCGTTCCACACCCACATTCAAGACATGGAAAAGGAGAAGAACTCCATTATGGAGGTAAAGAAAATAATGAACAGCATCCACACCATTCTTCTTGAACGCAAGAGAAACAACTTCATGTCCCTTAAAGTTAAGGGGGCTACTGGCACAAAAGCGTAGTGATGGACTTGGTAAGGAATATGACCAGTTCTGTGCTGATGTGCAAGGCCTGTACAGTACATGTCTGGAGTATCTGGAGAAGTGGATGACTCCCATGGAAGAGTTCTCCACATTCACGTGGATGGATCTGAGTGAGCCACCAGAGTGGAATGATGTGGAGGCCTGCATCAAGTTCCTAGGAGAGAAGGGGGTGGTAATTGATGATGTCAAGTGTTTTGACCAGGTCACCAATCTGAAGAGATTCACAGAAAGGTGCAACCGTGATGAGGAGTTCAGTGGCCTGCAGGTGCACCAGAAGTGGACCAAATATTTTTGAGAAGGCCAAAAGCATTGCATGTTACTCAGAACTACTGAAGATTGCACAGTTTGTCTTTGCACTTTCCTCTCACAATGCAAATGTTGAGAGGGTTTTCTCACTGATGCAGAGCCAGTGGACCAAGGAGAGGAACCAGCTGTCTGTTGAGTCACTGAAGGGGATTCTATTTGTGCAATACCATTTGAAAGACATGTCTTGCAAAGACTTTCATGCTTATTTGTTGAGCAACCGAAAACTGCTGGGAAAGATCAGCTCCACAGCTAAATATCGATGGGCAGACAAGGAGGATGAAGAAGAAAAGCAGGATGAAGAAGATTGAAGTATGCAGCTATGCAGAGAGAAAGCTATGTAGCTGTGGGAGAGAAACTTTAAACTTTTCATTTTAAATTGGGACCCTAGAAAACTGTTTGAAGCTAGAAATATGTGAAAAGTTGTCGTTTCAATGGTTGTTTACAATGACAGGGCCTGGAATTGTGTTTACAAACATTTAAAGTAGGCTTATATTTGGTTCATGGTGCCTCAAAATGTGTTTGGTTTGATTTAGGTAATCAAATTTTATGTTATGTTCACTAATGGCAATTATGCAAATGTGAAATCCAAAACTGCATAGTGCACTTTTAAAATAATTAGATTAGTGTCTATGTGAGGTTACTGTTTTATTGTTTACATTGACAAGATACAAAGAGATTATTTGTTAAAGCTGGATTTTCTATTTTATACTATTTCATATATTTTGTTATTTATTTTTGTCCAGTAAGACTTGAAAAGAGAGCTATTATTTTGTTACAGGTTGATGTTTAAGTTATTCTTGTGCATTTGAGATTTGTCAGAGATAATTCTAGGCATAATAAAGCATGTTGATTGTTGAGTAACCTTGGTTTGGTGTGTCTTTGGTTATCGAGAGATATTATTGTGTTATATAATTAGCACTTATTTATTAAATATTATGAATATGTCTTTATTATCAGGCTATGTTCCACAATCATTCAAAGTAGCAGTGATAAAACCGCTTCTTAAAAAGCACAACCTCGATCCAGAGGTTTTAGCCAACTATAGACCTATTTCCAATCTTCCGTTCCTCTCAAAAATTATTGAGAAAGTGGTCGCAAAACAGTTGTGTGATTACTTAAAAAACAATGATTTATTTGAAGATTTTCAGTCTGGCTTTAGAACACATCATAGCACAGAGACAGCTCTGGTTAAAGTCACAAATGACATTCTAATAGCCTCTGACAAGGGACTTGTCTCTATTCTTGTTTTGCTCGATCTCAGTGCTGCATTTGATACTATCGACCATGATATCCTATTGCAAAGACTAGAGCACTTAGTTGGCATACAGGGAACTGCTTTAGACTGGTTTAGGTCCTATCTATCTGAACGCTCTCAGTTTGTACGTGTCAATGATGAATCTTCCACGCAAACCAAAGTTAGCCATGGAGTGCCACAGGGCTCAGTGCTCGGACCTATTTTGTTCACATTATATATGCTTCCGTTAGGCAATATTATAAGGAATCATTCTGTACATTTTCATTGTTATGCGGATGATCCTCAACTATATTTATCAATCAAGCCTGATGAAATTAATCATCTAAATAAAATTCAAGACTGCCTTAAGGACTTAAAAACGTGGATGACCTTAAACTTTTTGATGTTAAACACGACCAAAACTGAAGTTATTGTACTTGGCCCGAAGAATCTACGAAACAATTTATCTAAGGATATATTAACTATGGATGGCATTAATTTGGCCTCCAGTGAGACTGTAAGGAATCTTGGTGTTATATTTGATCAGGATTTATCCTTTAACGCCCACATAAAATACATTTCAAGGACCGCCTACTTCCATCTACGTAACATTGCAAAAATCAGGCATATCTTGCCTCAAAACGATGCAGAGAAACTAGTCCATGCATTTGTTACTTCAAGGCTGGATTATTGTAACTCTTTATTATCAGGGTGTACCAAGAAGTCAGTCAAGTCACTTCAGCTGATTCAAAATGCTGCAGCTAACCAGAGTTAGGAAAAGGGACCACATTACTCCTGTTCTGGCTGCCTTACACTGGCTCCCTATAGAACACAGGATAGAATTTAAAATTCTTCTTCTCGCCTACAAAGCCCTTAATGGGCAGGCGCCATCTTACCTTAAAGAACTCATTATACCCTACTGTCCTACTAGGGCATTGCGTTCCAAGAATGCAGGGTTGTTGGTTGTTCCTAGAGTCTCTAAAAGTACAATGGGAGCCAGAGCCTTTTCTTATCAAGCTCCACATTTGTGGAATCAGCTTCCAGTTTGTGTTCGGGCGGCAGACACCCTATCCGTTTTTAAGAGTGCGCTTAAGACCTTCCTTTTTGATAAAGCTTATAATTAGGGCTGATTAGATTCAGCCCCTAGTTTTGCTGATATAGGCTTAGTTTGTCGGGGGACATCTTACTTCTTCCTTCTCTCTGTCTATACCTGTGTACTCTCATGTTCCGATTAACCCAGCTTCCCCAAATGTCTTTCTTTTTGGTGTCTGTATACGCCGGGATCCGGAGTCATGGATGATCCTGCGCTCCTCTGTCCTGGATCTTGAGTCGTGGCTGTGGTCCTGGATCATAGGTCCTGGATGGATATCCTCGTGGATTCATCTTCCTATTATACACACATGCATTTCCAAACATTTGGACTACCTATGTTGCAAATGTATTATCTTTTCAATTTACACACGGCATCTATTGCACGTCTGTCCGTCCTGGGAGAGGGATCCCTCCTCTGTTGCTCTCCCTGAGGTTTCTCCCATTTTTCCCTTTAAACTGTGGGTTTTCTTCGGAAGTTTTTCCTTGTACGATGTGAGGGTCTAAGGACAGAGGGTGTCGTATTGTCATACTGATATTTTGTACAAACTGTAAAGTCCACTGAGACAAATGTAACATTTGTGATATTGGGCTATATAAATAAACATTGATTGATTGATTGATTAATTATATACAGTAAAATAATATAAATAATAATTGTATATCCATACAGAGGAGGCATACTTTAAAACAATAAGGCATCTTTGAGTAAACGTTGAGTATCATTAAGTATCTCGAGGCTGGGGGCAGCATGTCCTCTTTTTTGGAAATCAAAATATGGTCACCCTAGCTTAACATGCTAACATTTGGTGAGCTACAGTAAAGCTAACTTCATGTTCAACACGAAACCTTTAACGTGCATTACATTGACGATTTTAAACACAATAGATAACGTTTAGTTAACTTACCCTTAAATAACTATCACGTTTTTCAGTGGAAACACAAACTGCAGAAAACGTTAGCTGCTAACTGTTGTTAGCTAAACAGCTAGCTCTTAAGGGAAGTAACATAGCCTCATGGCAAACTTAAGGTTAAGTTAACATTAACGTAGCGTTGTAAGAAAGCAAAACGAACCTTCGAGAAAGCTTTTACTCCCTCTCCTTAGTGAGCATTGTTGATTGTTCGAAACACGATCTCTCGAAGTGCTGCCCACACATCGTCGGTTTCATCGACCCCGGGTTACCTGGTCCAGCAAAAGTACGCCTCGTACGACGCACTTGTTTTGTCCATATATGCAACATTTTATAATTTTTTGGCCACAAAAACATCCCATAGCCAGATGTTGAGACGGCCCCACATCAATACAACATATCGCTTGCCGATTATTCTTGGCGTCTTATTGCTGTGCATCCTTCCTTTGTCATAATATTTGACCCTTCAATGCATTCAAACGGGACTGAGCTGAGCTGTGTTCTACTCATGATGTCACCGCCGGAAATGGCCGAAGTTGATGTTTCCGGCGAGACGAACGATTGTTACTAACTGACAACTTTTGTATGCTGTTATAATCGTGATTTATTAAAAATACATCAATAATAAAAAAATCATATGGCACATTTCACAATACAAATGCAACCTCTATCATATACCAAGCCCACTAACAGGTGCTAATAGCATTTTGTAAGCTCTTTAAGGTGTTTTAAAGTAAAACCTTTAAAGTTAACAATTCCCCTCTTTTAGGTCCCCAGGGATAGGTAAGACACACCTCTTTTGTTTCTCCATTGAAAGGAAGGAGTGTGGGAAACCAGAGGAAACTCACTCACAGAGCCCTGTGGGACAATAGATCTAGAGTAACCTTTGCCTTGAACCAAATTCGATATCAAAAAAGTCTTCCGTTCACACGGATACGGCTCAATAAACGTGTCCCTTCACACGAGACAGCTTGACCCGCTGGAGACGCTGTAGTATATATGCCGGGTCTGTAAGTGGCGCTGTACTTCCGCCACAAAATACACCAAAAGCAGCGAAGAAGACCCCCGAGCATGGTTGCCTGGTTGCCCTTCTGTATATTCTCCGCGGTGAATTTAGTAACATGCAGTTCATGTGGTTCTCCATGTCCACTTGTTGCTGATGGTTGTGGTAGAGGAGCTGTAGATTTTTTGCACTAACATCTGTAGCAGTAGCAGTAGCTACTGACAGTAGCAACTGACCATGCTACAGCAGTGAGCAGCAGAGGTGGGGAGAGGCGGGGCTATGGCTTCATCGTTATCAGGAAAATGCAAGTCTGAAAAAAAGTACAACATGACAGGTAATTGTAACTAGCAGACTTTTACAAAAAGAGAAAATATCCCAAGTTAGAAATGTCTTTCCTGAAACAAAATACAGTATATATAGTATTGGCAATAACTTACTTTATTGAATCTTCTCAAGAAAAATGCTGATATTCCAAATTATTGGAAATAATCAAACATCCGAAACTGAAGAACACGCACTTTTTTAAAAACGGCTTTCTTGTGCCTGCCAGATGCCTGCTAGGATTATACTTACTTAATGTAAACAAGAATATAACCTTATTTATGATATACAGTGGGGAAAAAAAGTATTTAGTCAGCCACCAATTGTGCAAGTTCTCCCACTTAAAAAGATGAGAGAGGCCTGTAATTTTCATCCTAGGTACACTTCAACTATGAGAGACTAAATGAGAACAAAAAAAAATCCAGAAAATCACATTGGCTGATTTTGAAAGAATTTATTTGCAAATTATGGTGGAAAATAAGTATTTGGTCAATAACAAAAGTTAATCTCAATACTTTGTTATATACCCTTTGTTGGCAATGACAGAGGTCAAACGTTTTCTGTAAGTCTTCACAAGGTTTTCACACACTGTTGCTGGTATTTTGGCCCATTCCTCCATGCAGATCTCCTCTAGAGCAGTGATGTTTTGGGGCTGTCGCTGGGCAACACAGACTTTCAACTCCCTCCAAAGATTTTCTATGGGGTTGAGATCTGGAGACTGGCTAGGCCACTCCAGGACCTTGAAATGCTTCTTACGAAGCCACTCCTTCGTTTCCCGGGCGGTGTGTTTGGGATCATTGTCATGCTGAAAGACCCAGCCACGTTTCATCTTCAATGCCCTTGCTGATGGAAGGAGGTTGTCACTCAAAATCTCACGATACATGGCCCCATTCATTCTTTCCTTTACACGGATCAGTCGTCCTGGTCCCTTTGCAGAAAAACAGCCCCAAAGCATGATGTTTCCACCCCCATGTTTCACAGTAGGTATGGTGTTCTTTGGATGCAACTCAGCATTCTTTCTCCTCCAAACACGTCTAGTTGAGTTTTTACCAAAAAGTTCTATTTTGGTTTCATCTGACCATATGACATTCTCCCAATCCTCTTCTGGATCATCTAAATGCTCTCTAGAAAACTTCAGACGGGCCTGGACATGTACTGGCTTAAGCAGGGGGACACGTCTGGCACTGCAGGATTTGAGTCCCTGGCGGCGTAGTGTGTTACTGATGGTAGCCTTTGTTACTTTGGTCCCAGCTCTCTGCAGGTCATTGACTAGGTCCCCCCGTGTGGTTCTGGGAGTTTTGCTCACCGTTCTTGTGATCATTTTGACCCCACGGGGTGAGATCTTGCGTGGAGCCCCAGATCGAGGGAGATTATCAGTGGTCTTGTATGTCTTCCATTTTCTAATAATTGCTCCCACAGTTGATTTCTTCACACCAAGCTGCTTACCTATTGCAGATTCAGTCTTCCCAGCCTGGTGCAGGTCTACAATTTTGTTTCTGGTGTCCTTTGACAGCTCTTTGGTCTTGGCCATAGTGGAGTTTGGAGTGTGACTCTTTGAGGTTGTGGACAGGTGTCTTTTATACTGATAACGAGTTCAAACAGGTGCCATTAATACAGTTAACGAGTGGAGGACAGAGGAGGCTCTTAAAGAAGAAGTTACAGGTCTATGAGAGCCAGAAATCTTGTTTGTTTGTAGGTGATCAAATACTTATTTTACCGAGGAATTTACCAATTAATTCATTAAAAATCCTACAATGTGATTTCCTGGATTCTTTCCCCCCATTCTGTCTCTCATAGTTGAAGTGTACCTAGGATGAACATTACAGGCCTCTCATCTTTTTAAGTGGGAGAACTTGCACAATTGGTGGCTGACTAAATACTTTTTTGCCCCACTGTAGGTAACCAGATGCCAACATATAATTTTATATTCTCAACATATTACTTACCTGCTTGCTTGATTACGGAAAGTAGGATGAAAAACATGGTTCTGTCCTTCCGTTATCTCTAATTATAAACAGGGATGCATAAATTGCAAAATTCAAGGCTGATATTTTAGAATTTAGAATAACGATTTGGCTGATAATGAAACAGATTTTTTTGTGTTTTTTACTTTGTTATTAATTAAAATAGTTTTGCTAGGTAGACAAATCTATAATACCAAAAAAGATGGACTTTGTTTCAGCCATTTATTACATGAACTCTAAATGGACACAAACTGTTCTAACGTTTTTCATCATGAAGCATTCACACAGCAAATGTCAGAAATTGCCTTTTCTAGTTTCACTGAATGGTATTTAACAACTACCAACGTTGATGGATAATTATCCCTAGGTGTTGCACAATGCTTGTGCACAGGATCCTCAAAAAGATCAATTTGCAGAGGAGCACATGCCTGTTTTCTGCTAATGGACAGAGTGTGGGAAAAACACCTCCCATCCCACCAGCAGCCAAGTAATTCTCCAAAGGGATTTGGCACACTTCAGGAAACAGCTGCCCTCCAGGAAACCTCCCATTCTCATGTTTAGGGCTCAAGTCTGATCCAATTGTTGTACAGAAATAAGAAAATGAAGTTACAAGTAGACAAAAATGTAAATGTTTGAAACTTTCAAGTCAGCCAATGGCGTCCTTTCCCTCCAGATGGCTGGTGAGTTTCTGTAACAATGGCTGGTGAGTTTCTGTAACAACACACCGCCAGCATCTGTCAGCGGAGTCCCTTTGTGGATAATTGACCACACCATACAGGGAGTCAGTGTGGGAAACTGAGCTCAACTTGCTACTCAGGCTGACTACAAGGCACGTGTCAAAAGACCACATCTGGAATGTAGCCTGAATGGTTGTATTGAAGCTATCATAAATAATCATCAAAATACTTCCTTAAATGTTATGATGTTATTTTTAAAAAAAAATAGATTTTGAACTATTAGAAATACAATTTAAAAAAGAAATGAAGTTGGACTAAATTAACTATTCAAAACAGTGATATTAGCTAGATTATTTGAGGTTTAGGATAATAACATCCGAGAAGAATAAAGATGCTTGGATTAACGTATTTCCTCACGTGTGTGATGAGATGATGAGCGTGTGCTCAGTCAAAGTCATTGATCCCAGCATCAAGCAGCAGATCTGCTCTCTACAGGGTCACCACTTTCCCAGATTCACACAGAGCTCTGTGAGTCTCTCTCCACCCCTTCCCAGTCCCCCACCTGTTCCCCTGGGATCTAAACATTGTCCCTTGTGGTAATAAGAGCATTAAGTGTGCTGGACCCATTATTGTGTCATCAAACCCAGATTGGTTGAGATTGTGAGAAACTGCAGTCAGACCCAGACCCACACATTCATATGGAGATGTGGGACTATAAATAGAAGGGATGAAGCCAGCAGAGATCAGATTCTCTCTACAGAGACCTCTACAGCACAGAGATCCAGACCTGGCGCCTACAATCACTGCAGCAATGACCAACTCTCAGGAGCCTCACACTCTGACCCACAAGGTAAATTCAAGATTGAAGAAGATTTCAATATTGTCCTTCAATTGTTGTCTTTGTTCATGCTACCACTAAACTCCAGAATAAGATTATTAATGACTTTCTTTTTCTTTCTGCAGCTCAGAAAGCCTCTGGTGGAGAAGTTACGCAGAGAGCGAATCAACAGCAGCATTGAGCAGATCAAGTCTCTCCTGGGTCCAGAGTTCCTCAAACAGCAGCCAGAGTTCCTCAAACAGCAGCCAGACTCCAAGCTGGAGAAAGCAGACATCCTGGAGATGACAGTTTGTGTCCTGAGACGACTGCAGCAGCAGAATCAAGCTGTGGACTCAGCAGCTGTCAACCAGGGCTACTCCAGGTGTGTGCAGGAGGTGACACACTTCCTGTCCAAAGAGCAGGGGAAGACTCAGTCCCAGAGAAGACTGCTGAACCACGTCAACAAGATGCAGTGTTCCTCTGATAAGAACCTGAGAGAGGCTGACTTCTCTCTGCTGAGCTCCACAGTCCAGACTAGCATCACGAAAGAGAAGAGTCCAGTCAACAGCGCCCCCTGGAGGCCGTGGTAGACCCCTACAGACTGGAGTTACTACCAGACAAACTGAGATGACCATATTGGTCAAAGGTTACTGGAATTTAATTCTTCTGAATTCTGAAAAATTATGAACTTGTTCTTCTGTTTGTACAGAAGGTTGTTTTTTGTTGGTTTTCTTTATGCAAGATGACATTTCCTGATGAAACAACTATATATTTCAATTTAAGAAAGATAACATCTTGGCATGCATGTTGCATGAACCAAATCTGATTGCATCTGCAATTATTGACTACCTAACTGTACTTCATGTAATGGCTGAGTAGTTTAATGATGCATTTTGTATCTTTTCATTGTTATTAATCATAGTGATCAACACACTTGAACTGTAATTATATGGACCTATTATCACAGTTGACTGTTTTTTAAAACAAGGTTTGCTTAATGTCACAGTTTCCCTGTGATGCTGTAATATCTAATTTCATCTTATGTGTTGGTAGTAATATGAAGATAATGCTAATATTTTCCATCTTGGTCTAAATTAATTTTGAATAGCTAAAAAATATGAATTGTCCTTTTTATGGGGATTTTGTTGTAATGGACTTTCCCTCACTTTCTGTGAATATTAAAAAATGATCTGTTTTAAGATCGTTATGTTTCTCGCTGTACTGTGTACGATGTGGTAAATGTAACAGTGTCACAGTTTTTCAGTGACAATGTCAATTACAAAAATTCGAATTATTATTGATTATTAAGAACAATGTGAACTGTTGTAAGGATGTTTTTTAAGACCGTAAGGTCGGTGAAAACGTTTTAATTCATTTAGGGGGGAAATCCCAAAGGAAATTAGTACTGTGTCCTCAAATATTGTTAATCGTTTGTCTTTTGTAAAGACAGTTGTTCCTCTACTCTGTGTGAGTACAGTGTCTTGTGGAAATCTACAAGTTGTTGTTGTGATTTATCATCACCTCTAGTTGGAGCTTTTATGCTCATTGTGCATTGTTGAATAAACAAACACTGCCAGCTGAAAACCTTGCTCTTTTGAGTTATTTTTCACCCTACTTGCCCTTGTTACAATAGGTGCTTTCACACCAAGTACTTTGCCGTACTTAGTTCATCGGAACTCTTTAGTTCCCGGAACTAAAGAGCAGGTCGCGTTCACACCGGAATAAGTCCCTAAGGGAGGATTAGGCAAATGTGTCCAGATCCGTCCCCCTGCCCGATCGGTACTGCGCATGTGCGAGATGGTCCGCCATATTGGACAACTCCGGACGGCAACCCAAGATGGACACTTGACACAGTGGCTTTTAGCAAAGCTCAAAAAGAAAACTCGAGAGAGATGAGTTATTGTTATTACAACGTGACTTCACTATTATTTAACAACTCTTTTTATTGGGTTATTTTATTATATTTGGGGTTAAGTACATTGTCAGAATAAGTGAGGAATTAATTTAACTTCTGTTAAGACAGCCATATGCCATACATTTTTGCATACATTCACAGTAAATATGTATTCAGTATGATAGCTGTCTAACATAAGTTAAATCCATTTCTCACTTATTCTGACAATGTACCTAACCCCAAATAAAATAACCCAATAAAAAGAGTTGTTAAATAATAGTGAAGTCACGTTGTAATAACAATAACTCATCTCTCTCGAGTTTTCTTTTTGAGCTTTGCTAAAAGCCACTGTGTCAAGTGTCCATCTTGGGTTGCCGTCCGGAGTTGTCCAATATGGCGGACCATCTCGCACATGCGCAGTACCGATCGGGCAGGGGGACGGATCGGGTAGTGACAAAATGAAGCAAGCCCCCAGGAAGTGCACCGGACTCTGAGGAAAATATTCGTTGTGGCCAAACGGCGGTACTACACTTCCGTTAGGTTGCTGGGCCCGGAAACACTTTTCCCCATTGACTAACATTGGGAAAGAGACGTCTGTAAATCGTTGGATACTTTTTTTTAAACTAAATAAACTACCCAGTATGAACGTTTGTATTGCCCTTATTAAAAACATTCGGTCCTCAAGTTGTAAAATGTGCTAATAACGTTATTCTGAGAGTTATTTTCCTCTGCATTATGAATGTGCATCTAACCCACGGGACAGCACCGCCCGGCACGTTCATGTTACGTGTTCAGTACTACATGCGTTTTACCTTTACCCATGGATGCACAATAAGAACGGACCCATATCGCCTTACTGCCAGTCCACGGAGCTGTAATAATGGATATATTGCACATGTTTGCTGTAATTCATCATTTGTAAAATAGTATACTACATGAGCTGTATGATGTAAATCTTGTACCGTAAATGTTGTATTAAATAAAGTTAATATTACCGACGTTAGATTAACGTCCCTGTAGCTTATTATTGCACTGTGTATATATATATACATATATATATAGATATGTGTATATATATGTATATGTATATATATATATATACAGATATATGTATATATATATATATATATAGTAGATATATTTTTATATATTACCAAGTGGTTTCATGTACAACCCACAAAAGTATCATGCTAAATGAAGCTCTGTTGCTTGGATATCACTAGATCCTGCTACAGCGTAATATAAAAGTACATAACGATTGATGTGTAAAATAGCATAATTACTAGTTAGCCGCTAGCTGCTAACTGCCGGCGGCCGCCTCGTTAATATCAAAATCCATCATATAACAATCCAGTACCATGCTGTCATGAACGTGCGGTGCTGTTATGTGTACAAATTGACGTGCTTAATGTGAACGAGCCTTTTGGGGGGCATGGTTAAAGTTGTGCATGCTCTATGAGCGCACATACGGGTACTTCTCAGGCATGACGGGTAATCTGTGACGTTTCGCTCTCTTAAAAGTTGGGCCATTTTATCTTCATGCGCCAATAGAGAAATCCGGAAGTAAACTTCTTCCGGTTCCTTCGTCAAAAACCAATGCAATTTCTCCATAGGATTTTGGAAAATAGCTCGAAATAAGGTCTGTGGTTGACACACATTTAAGAGAGGGATCACGTTTTGTTCAGCCGGATAATCTCCACATGTCAACCCTACTTTTATAATTTTTGAATCATAAATCTAGTTGCCAGAAGCAAAATGCTAACGTTATGCTATAAACGAACTACAAGCTAGTACAGCAGCAGGGTCGCACGACTTCAACGACTTGCACTGAAACTGCACTTTGAACACTTTAAATATATTATTAACATTTTAAACTGTATACCCCGGTTATCTAGGCCCTTTTTGTTTTGTTTAATGTATACCACGTTTATCTAGGCCCCTTTTGTTTTGTTTTATGTATACATGTCACACTGCGGGAAACGATATTTCTGGATGTATAACACATGTCGAATTTTTGACAATAAAGCTGACTTTGACTTTCGCGCGCTTGAATATTTTAACAAAGCTTTTCATTTTAGCCACACTGAATTTAACTAGAAGTCATGGCTGTGTCAATTACCAGTCTGATATCGTTTTACAAAGATGACAAGAAGAGTGTAGATAGAGGAGAGAACCACTACAAGTCAGGACACCTAAAACAGTGCAGCCTAGATGAAGGTGTGCTTACCGGTGTTGTCAGGGCTAGCATGAGGGACAAGGTTTATAGTGTCGGTGAGTAGTGATAGCAAGAGTACCGTTAACCTAGAGTTAATTTATTCACATTAGTGACATTAATTTCCATCAACAAATCCATTTTATGTGTCATATGAAATCTATATTACACATATTACACACCAGAAAACACATAAATATCCATGAAATAAACATACAGTAGGCTATAAACAATTAAAGGGATAATTGGGAAGACATTACAAATGTAAATATATTTTAAATAATAAAACAATCCCACCACCACAGGTATCTACAGGAGAAGAGGGAATTCTCTCCACGAAATGTGAATGCCCACGTGGAGAATGGAAATGCAGTCATGCGGCTGCATTAGCCATCTTTGCCATCCACAATTTCAGCTGCACTGACACCCCCTGTCAGTGGAAGAAGCCAAAAGCAGCTAAACGTATGCATTCAGTGGAGGAGCTATTTCCTCCAACCAATAACTAATTTAACCCGCTGACAAGAGAGCCCACCTCCGAAGATCGTGACTGGCTGAGGGACAGACTCGGGGGCAGGTTCTCAGGAATTTCTTGGCTTCTCTCCCCGAGCCAGAAGAGGAACACTACAGCTTGGAAACACTTACTGTTCCTGAAATTATCAAATCTGTTGGGCATCAGGGACCTGAGGCAATTGTGGCAAGCATGGCATTGTCTGAGGAGCAACAGAGGGCAATTCAGGTGGCTACCACTGGTCAGCGAACCAACCCAAACTGGCATTTGTTCAGGAAAGGAAGGTTGACTGCCAGCAACTTTGGAGCTGTCCTGAGGTCAAAGCGTGTGACTGCTTCCCTTATTGCCAGGGTGCTAGGGCAACAACAGGCCCTTGATGGTGTTTTGTCTGTACAGTGGGGGACTATGAATGAATGTGAGGGCATCAGGGCATTCACCACTGCAACCCAGATGCAGTTCCATGAGTCAGGTTTGTGGCTCTCCCAATCAGGAGTGTTGGGGGCATCTCCAGATGGTCTGGTAGGGTCTTCCGCTGTGCTGGAGGTAAAGTGTCCCTACGGAGCCAGGGAAATGACAATTAGTGAAGCATTGCAAATCAAGGGCTTCTGTGTCAGTAAGGAAGGAGAAACATTCAGCCTGCGTGAGGAACATCCTTACTGGCACCAAGTGCAAGGTCAGCTTCACCTCACTGCAAGAAAGAAGAAGAAATTAAGAAATTGTGAATCGTTTTTAATTTACATTTACTCGCCTTTGCAATGTTGTGGTTGTTAGAGTGTTAGGTTTCCTGTCAGCTCGTCTGTTGGGAAGATATAAAATATTAGTTTCATGGAAGTCACACCGTCACATATAAGAGCATTAAGACATACAGTACATAGGCTAAAACAAAACATCTAAAGATATAACCTTGCACTTTGTCTCGTGAACATTTTCACTATTATGACATTTTTATAGATCAAAATTGAACTAAAGAAATAAATGGTAGATTAATCCATATTGAAAATAGGTGTCAGCTGCTACACTAATTATAATAGTTATATTTCTTAATTAATTAAGATAAGATATTACTGTATTGATCCCAATTTGGGAAATGTTTGTGTTGCAGCAGCATAACAAGAAAAACAGAATATAAGTTATTATATATACAAAAGTATGTGAGGGATGGAATATTAAATTAAATATAAATGTAAAATGTACGTGTGATTTTACGTCCAAGAGAAGCTATGGAGCAGAGAGTTCTCTGCCAGCCAGAGGTGATTTGTTATTAGTTCAATATGTCAAACTGATTTCCCTGACTACAATATTTAGTTACATGATGAAACGTTATGCTGCTTGTACTAATTAGACTTATCATATAAGCCACACAGGTTTTAATAGGATTTATTCATTATCTTTACTTATGTTGCGGTCTTTTCAGCAGTGCCATCTCTAAAACGATGGAGGACGAAACATGACATAAGTATAAATAAATAAATGTGTAAATAAATGTATGAAGAAATACAGGAATAAATAAATAAATACGGAAATAAATAAATAAATACAGGAATAAATACACAAATAAATA